AAAGCGCACTCGGACGAGAGGCGCCGCCATCCAGTGCGCCGGGGCCCGGACAGCCCCGCGCCCAGAGGGTCATAGCGAAGGCGCGCGCCCACTAGCAGTCGCCCGCTGCATACTGAACGCTGCATACTGAACATCATGGCATCGCCGCAGTCGACTGGGAGAAGCTCCGGAAACGTTGCGCAACTAGCCCGCACTGGGAGGAAATACGCCGAAGGATAGCACAATGATCTCAATGCGATCTCAAATGGCCCCCACCCCCGAATTCAGTATGCCCCGTGGGCAAGGCGGACCTTCAGTGCCCGGGCTGGGCGCCGCCCGCGCTCCGAAATGCCTCGACGAGGGCGGCGCGCGGGATGGCCTCAATGAAAATGTTGCCGCCCCTGGCAATCGCCGCCGCCGCCTTCGGAACGCCTTCCGCCGCGACCTCTGCCGCCTGAGGCAGGAGGGGGGCCTGGGGTGCCTCGCCGCAGCTCCAGCTCTGGGGCCCCCTGGCAGGGGCTATCTTCGCGAGTCTGTTAGAAGCGTCGTTGCCTCTGGCCCGGCGCCGCCCTTCGCCGCCAGGGGTCGAGGGGCCCAGGTCGACGCGCGCTTTGATTTAGCGGGGCCCGGGGCGGAGGGGGGCCGCCATGCTGGCCCGCCGCCGGGGCCTCGAAGGCCCCGTGAATGTCGGCCCGCGACGAACATTTCTTCCGGTGGACGTCGATAGCTCCTTTGTACTCTACAAAGATCTGGGCATGAGAAAGTAAAGTTCAGCTCCTGGCCTGAAACCGGAGCCATCCGCGTGCGCGTACCGGGGAAAAACTTCTCATGGAGTAAGGTCTGGGACACGGCTCCAGAAACCAACGCGTTCGTATCCGACGCCCGCCGGGCCCCCTGAATCGAATTCATGCTAAAACCGAAACCGAGGGCCAGGACCTGATCGGAAGTTTTGTCTACATTCTCAAACTCTTCTGTTGTGAGTTCAATCTGGCCGAAACGCTACAATCCAGAAGCCCGTGCTTCAAAATGCCCCTCGCAACTCCGCGCTGGCATGTTTGGTCAACGTCGTAGCCGGCCGCGCGCAGTCTGACCTGCGTCAAAATGCACTGAGTGAGAAAGCAGACGAGCGTGGGCCCGGCCTCCCCAATGAAACTCTAGTTATATACGCGGCCTCTTGCCATTGAAACATCCTGGGTCTCTGGAGGTCGCCTGAATTTCGCAGCGGCTTTCCCCGGGCCAAGCCTGCCCCGGACTGCCTGCGTCTTCTGGGCCAGCGCTTGAGGCGCGCAGGTCGCGAGCGGGCATTCGAGCCCGCTCTCGTCTTGCAGCTCCAAAACAAAAGGACAACTCAAGCCCGCCCTCTTGAGGGGTTGAGTGGCGGCCCCGAATGGGCCTCGCCCAGCAGACCATTTGAAGGGGGGGGAGGCGAGGATGGGATCGGCAAGGCCCTTAAGTTCTAAGAGTTACCGAGGGTGCGAGGGCTGAGTGGCCGCGCGCCAGATCATCGTCGCCCGCGCCGGCCCAGATTTTGAGCCTGCACGCCGCGAGGGCGCTTCAAAGAGCAGCCGAGCTAAGGGGCCTACTTCGCGCAGCGCATCTGGGGCCAGCAGTCCGCAAGCGCTATGTCTGCAAATTCCGAAGCCCCCCATGGCCCATCCTCGCAACCTCGGCCCTGTAGGTGATGGCCTGCTGGAGGCATGTTTTCCAGATTTTCCTCGTGTTCCCTCCAGTAGCCCCAATCGCTCGAATCCGATGTCGTCGATGCCGACGTCGCGCAATTCGTCGGTAAAGGGTCGCATCGGCGAGTCGTCTCCGAATCCGACCCCTCGCGGCTCCAGCAGAACTGCCCACGCCTAGATTAGTAGCCGAGTGAGCATTTTCAGGGCCAGCACACTTGTCAAGGGCATCCCTTCTTTCCTGCCTAAGCCGAAGGTTGAAACTCTGACCTAAGTTCTGCGCAGCGCGAGCTCGCACTCCAGGTCCTCTTGAACGGGTCCTCTTGAACGATAACTGCTAGCCCGGCCGAAAAGCGCTGCAGCTGTCGGACTGGGCCTTCCTGCGTTCGATGCGGCTGCCCCAGGAACAAGTCGTCGATAAACACTGGCAAATCGGCCCTTTGAGTTTTGGCGGCCCCAACTGCCCAGCGACCCCAAACTGCAGACCTGCGCCAAGAAAGCCGGCCATCCACGGCCAGCTGCAATACCTCGCGTCGGCTGGTTGACCATCTGCATTCAATCTCTGGCGGCGACCAGGCGCTGGCTGCTGCGCCGCGTTAAAATGACCTTGAAGAAAACCCGTGTCGTGGGTCCTCTCATTCAACTTGGCGCGACTGATGCACTCGTGCTAGTTGACGAGGTCCCACCGCGCAGCTCCAGAATGCTGTGTCTCCTCGCGAATCATTCCGCTCTCAGCCATGAGGCTCCGCCGGCAAAAACCTACTTCCGTGGTGCTCTTGCCCGCCTGGTGGGCAATGAAACTTCGTCGGCGCGCTGATTCCCCATGTCCGACCTTCCCCGTGACGGACCTTGGACCAGGTGCAGTAAAGTCCCGGCGTCAGCCTGATCCCTCGGAACTGCGCTCGGGGCTTGCTTCACTTTGCTTGTGTGCTGCTTGGGGATCAGCATCGAGACCGCTGCTGCCAGCTGCTTGGGCATACGCTGCCAGCTGCTTGGGCAGCTGCTTGGGCGCAACACATGGCACGCCAGCTGCGCCTGGCCAGGTGCCGGGTCCTGGAAATGCACGGGGTGAACGCCGCTCCACGTCGCGGGGGTCGCGCGGCAGAACTGCTTGGCGGCATCCAGCAACTGCCGGGGCTCTATCATGGGCAACTGGGGCCCGTGGGTTCCTGGAGGCACAGGATATGGAGGCCCACTGTCAGCGGCAGCCCAAAGATCGCTGGGTCCATCTGCATCGCAGTCGAGAGCCTTGGGGCGCAGCTTGGGGGGCCCGCGCCCGCAGCCTGGGTCCACCTGCGAGCCCATCCAGCATTGCCTCGAGTGCCCACTTGGACCCGCCCCCGCCAGGTCCGAGAGGCCTCCTGCTTTTCCAAGACGATCTCCCTATCAATAAACCTGGCGATGTGCTTCAAAACGTCATCCAGAGCCTCGGGGCCCAGTTCTGAAACCAGGGCCCCCGATTGCACATCCAGAATGAAGCGCTGGAAGCTCTGATGGGTGCGGAGGAGGCGCTGCTGGAGGACCTCGGACTCTTGGAACTCTGGCGGGGGGTCTTCCATGCACTCGGCGCAAGCGGGCAGGTGAAGGGCAGCGGCGCGGCCATCGGTCGGTCGGGCCGCGGCGTCGGGCCTGCGGCCCTCGCGCCGTGCGCCCGCAAGCGCGCTGACCCCAAGCCACCGCCGTGGGCCGCCGCCGCCGCCGCCGCCGCCGGCGGCGGCGCTTCGCCTGTCGGCGACGGCGGTACCCGTGGACCCCGCTCCCTCCCCCTTCCCTGCCCCCCCCCCCTCCTCTCCAAGCCCTCTCCCCCCTCCCTCCCCCCTCCTCGCCTTCCCCCTCCTCTCCCAGCCCTCTCCCCTCTCCCTCCCCCCTCCCTTGCCCTCCCCTCCTCTCCAGGACCTCCCCCCTCCCCTCTCCCGCCCCTTCCTTGCCCTCCCTCTCTCCGCGCCCTCCCCCCTCTCCCGCCTTTTCCCTGCCCTCCCTCCCTCCGTGCCCTCGCCCCCCGCCCCTCCCTGTCCTACTCCGACCCCCCCCCCATCTCTCCGCCCTGTCGGCCCTTCGACTCTTCTTCATCTGAACCCCTCCGTAAACCCTTGTGCTTTGTCGTGAGTGGAGAAGGAGAGGAGACAGATAGGCGGATCGAACCGACGAGCGGCAAAAGAGCCGAAGAGGACAAGCCGTATGCCCCCCATCAAGATGACGAAGGCGGAGGGGCAACCACATGGCTTGACGATGGCCACTCCCGCCGAAAGCGCCGGAACAGTCCTGCGGGCCCGCCAGCGAATCTCCGCACTGCAACCTCGCACGGGGAGCAGGCCGCCACGGGGATTGAACTATTATCAGGAGGGAGAAAACACACAGACACAATGAATCGTCGATCCCCAAGAACATATGCGAAAATGTGGGTATTGGGCGGGAAGAACAAAAGCCAGAAAATATATTGGAAAATCTGATGGCATCTGTTTATTTTGTGTATTTATTTGTGTCCTTGGGCCCCTTGACATGACACCGTGTCGGCGGTGCCGGGGGGCAGGACGACGGCAGCACCGCTCGGCGCGCAGCGCAGGCGAGGAGGAGCACCCCCTCCAGGCACGAGCGATCGTGGCAGCGCTGCGGGGTTCCGCGGGGTGCTGCTCTGCTTGGCCTCTGGCGCCCGGCTTCGGAGGCCGCTCCTCCTCCTCCTCCTCCCTCCCACTCTCTCTCTCTCGCTCTCTCTCTCTCTTTCTCTCTCTCTTCCCTCCTCCCTCCTCCTCTCCTCCTCCCTCCTCCCGCCCTCCCTCCTCCCTCCTCTCCTCCTCTTTCCCTCCCTCCTCCCTCCTCCTCCTTCCCACTCTCTCTCTCTCTCTTCCCTCCTCCCTCCTTCTCAGCCCCTTTCTCCTTCTCGTGTCCCACGGCCCTTCGAAGGCTCATCGACCTTTTGAAGAGAGGCAAGATCAACAAGACCCAACTCTGCTGCATGGACCATGTCCTAGTTCGACTCCAATATGGTGGGCCTACTGCTTCGCTACTGTCGCCTCTGGCTTGTGTCCGTTCCATGTGCAGCATTTTTGAGTACATCGTGTGAGCTGGATACGGTGGCGAGGCGACACAACAAATGACGACGAGAAAGATGTGCAGCAACAGCACGGCAAGGAGCATTAAGGCCATCTCGAAAAGGAGAAGAGAGCGGTCCAAACACCGCCACCGACTACATGACTTTCCGCCGCCTTTGGTGGTGATGATGCTGCTGCTGCTCATCATCCCCTACAAATGAATCCGCCTTGCTCTTTCCTTCATCCTCCTTGAGCACCTGTGTTTCCTGCCTCCAGAATGGCGCGTTTCCTCTCTTCACCGAATGAATCAACGATCCTTGGCTGTTCATCTTGCCGCGGAGGATCCAGCTGGTTGCCGGTCCGTCGATAATCTCCCGGGCCTGCTGTAAGTCCTCCTCAGGGGGCAAAGAATGGAGAGGAAGACATGGGGACGGGACGGGAGAGGGAACGGAAAAGGATGAGGAGCGGCTGGGGTCAGTATGAGCACCGCGCAGGCGTGCTCCACGCTTGCGGTGACTCCTGTTCAGAGTCGGTTACTGCGTTTCCCAGCGCCGCGCGTAGAATATTTCATGTACCTTGCGGCTCGTGCCTCCGAATGCAGTAACTAAAAGCACGACATCCCGACACGCAAGAAATTACATTGACCGCTTGAGCGAGACACAGAGCAGAGCGAAATAGCAGAAGCCGAAGCGATCCATTGAGGCGTGGGTAACCCTGGGGATTTCGTGGTGTATCCACGGGTTTATGGGGCTTGTCAGCTCGACGCCAGATCTTGTCTCTGCCTCCCTGTGCCACTAATTCGAACGCGGTCTTAGCTTCGCCCGTATGCTATGACTGGCACTGGCACTGGCAGTGGGGGCATTGCAGAAGTAGCGACGGTTGCGGCCGTGAGCGATATTTTGTTTCAACCTCCCAGTTCTCGCCAGTTTGTTTAGTTCCCTGTCGAAGGCGGTTGGGGCACTGCCCCAATCAGTTCTCTTCCCCTGGGCGTTCAAGCCCGCCGACCCCGTGCCAGGCAGGGCCTCTCGCACCCAAGAGCAGCGCACGCGTCGGAAAAAGGTCTGTCGGTACAAATCCGAGCCTGCGCTCGGTAAGATCGGGTCGGGCGAAAAGGGGGGATAGCACAGGGGAGGTTTGAGAATCAGCTCCCGTAGCTGATTTCCCCGGCGCCTCCCGGCGCCGGAGGCGGCTATGCATCGAGGAATGGGCCCCTCGGTGGGGCCGAAACCAGCTGCATGCAGCAAATCTCGTAACCCCCCCTTTCCCTATCCCCCCCTTTCGTTCGGCCCGATAAGGGCCCAGCACAACTCCGGGCCTGCGCCCACCGCGCGAGGAGTCAAACCGCAAGCGGACGCGTCGCTCAGGCCGCCGGGCCTCCGCAGTCACTCGGTGGCGGCGGGCGGGATGAAGCACGAGGTGGGAGCTGGCAGCGACGAGGTAGCACGAGGAAACAAGACGAGGCAGCAGGAAGCACAACGGGGAGAGGGGGGAAGGAGGCAGCAGAGGCAGGGAGGGAAACACTTTGCAGAATGCCCGACGCTCGGGGGGGAGGGGGACTTTCTGCAAAATGCCCGATGCTCGGGATGGGGAAAGAACCTCGCATAATTCCGCGGGCGCAAAGGAGTATGCTTCCGTGGGACACACTGGAAGCACTTAGCAAGATTCGAAACACCCAGCGTACATTCTACTCCAATGGCAAGATGGAAGACAATGCCACTTGCCGGAATAAAATGTCATTGTCCAGGCCAACATGGCGACTTGTCCATCGCGGGGAATGCTGACCCCCCCACGCGCGAGCGCGCGTGGGGAGTTCTGTACTTCCCACGGGGCACAAAATACAGCATTATCAATATTAGCTTGGAACTTCAATCAGCCGCCGTCAAGAGTTGAAATGCATCTCCAGCCCCGCACGACGCCATCTCGGTTTTTCTCCAAATAGGCTTGCCCTGGAGGGATTATACCTCATTCTCTACTTATTGGCCCGTTACCCCCCGCCCTGGCAAAAAAATCCATGTCCCCCCCCCTCTGCCTATGCCGATGCTTATGCCTACGTTTCCAATGCTCACTTGCTTGCGTGCTTGCTTGATTGCTTGCGCGCTTGCTTGCTTGCTTGCTTGCGTGCTTGGTTGTTTGCTTGCTCGATGGATCGATTGCGTGCTTGCTTGCGTGCTTGGTTGCTTGCGCGCTTGCTTGCTTGCTGAGCTGCGTACACACATTCATGTTTGACTCCTCTGATTCCCTGGTCTGGGTCGTCTGATGTTGTAATAATCAGCGCTGATTGATATGAGCAATGCAGAAATAGCCACGCGCGCGCTGACGCGCGCGGCGAGTTCTGCGCTGTCCATTGCATAGAAAATGTAATTAAACCCTCGTTAAACCGAATACCCAATCGGCCGCAGTGAAGGCGCCACTTTGGTTTCCAAGCGAACATTGCGACGTTGCTATCGCCAACGACGCACTACTTCCCGCGCGCGCGAAGAGTTCTGCGTTGTCCAAGTTACAAATAAGCACGCGAGAACCCGCGCTTCCATGCCCACGGGGTGGACATTGCAGAACCCGCGCGCGCGCATCCGCGCGCAGCCGAAACGCGCGGGGGGCTCTGCGTTGTCAGCAAAAGGAAAAAAAACAAGAACGCGTAGACCTCTGCGGTGGCGAATTGGATTTAGAAATGCACATGTGTTCGTCTGTTTTCCCATCTGGACAATGCAGGACCCCCCCGCGCGCGCGGGCATATCCGAATTCCCCCTATCAAATATTTGCGCGCTGGCCTGAAAACTGGTATCAGCCAACGTTGACTCACATCATGGAATCCGCGCAATCAAGCACGCTTGGGATCCGCAACTCAGCAAGCAAGCGCGCAAGCAAGCAAGCAAACAATCAAGCAAGCGCGCAAGCAAGCAAGCAAGCACGCAAGCAAGCAAGCATTGGAATAAGCATAGGCACAGGCATAGGAGCGCTCAGAGGTGGCGCATAGACATAGGCATAGGCATAGGCGCAGGCATAGGAGTTAGGGGGGCACAGGCACAGGCATAAGCATAGCCATGGGAATTGGGGGGGCGCATAAGAATTAGGGGGGGGGGCGGACCCATTAGTAGAAAATGACTTAGAACTTCTATAGGGCAAGCGTATTTGGAGAACACCAAGCCTTAACAGCGTCCGATAAGATTTCCTGGTTAACGTTTGTTCCGGTGTATGTTTTGCACGATAGTTTCGCATTATAGTTGGGTAGCAGAGTGGGCAATGCACCGCTGACAGGTGGGATTTCCAAATTAACATGGTCTCTGGTGCATGCGTTACGTTGCTGACAACACCGAGCACCCCGCGCGCGAGCGTGGAGGTATGCGCTGTCTGCAATAGAAGAACCGCCACGCTGCCTTGAAAGCTACAGCGCATGCTTCACGATGGCAGATAGGATTTCCCAGATAGCACGGCTCTGGTGGATGTTTTGTGAGATGGACAATGCAGAACTCCCCGCGGGCGCGCGCGCGGAGGGTGCTGCGTTGCCCACAATCGAAAACTCTGCATGTTGGCCTGGAAACAAACACCCAGGCAGTTCCCGAGTGGATTTCGAAGTCCACGCGGTGTCTGGTGCGGGCTTTGCATTTTGAACCACGCAGATCTCCCCGCGCGTGCGTGACGAAGAGTTCTGCGCTATCCGCAACAGAGACGTCCGCACGGGGGCCTGAGAACTAAAAATGCAACCCTTAACGGTGACCGGTGGAAGTTCAAAGTGCGAATGGGATCTGGCAAAGTTCGGGCATCGTGGACCATGCGCCACTCCCCGCGCGCGCGGGTCACCCAGGCCAGGCCAAGCGGGCCACCCGAAATGCAGGCGAGGCGCTCCAAGGGTCCGCTTCTGGTTCCCAGGCCAGCACGGCTGTTCTTCCATCGCACATAAACAGAGCTCCGCGCGCACACGCGAACGGCTGGCGCGACAGCGACGCGCCGTCGCGCCTGTTGCCAATGGTGGCGATGTGAGAAAACACACACGCTATAAAACATTTGGAATCCAGCCAGCGCGCGCTACCTGTGCATTTTGATCGAAGCCAACCTGACGTTTATCCCACTGTGAAAGCACGAGGATATCCACTCGCCGCGCGCTGTACGCTACTTTAAAGCATGCGGTGGACACTAATGAACCGCACCTGAAGTTGGACTTGCAATCGGTGCGCGCAAATAAAATTGGAAAACCAATCGGGTAGCCCGTGGGGCCCGACGGAATGCTCGATGATTCCACTGGCAATTCGACGAATCAACGAACCCACGGGGGCCAGAATAGAAGGCATGGAAAATCGTAGCGAATCATAAATAACACCAAATGTCCCCAACCTGCCCACGATTTTCAGAAGAGTGCCACGGGAGTCAAGGAAGCCATACCGAGAATGCTCGCGATAGGGATTTTGCTTCAAAACGCAAAGCGAACCAGCTCATGAAACACTGACAGTAAAAGGTTACGATTGAGTTGCAAATTCTTGGCAACATGGATTTCGCACTGGCTGGTTATCCTACATAAACTGCGGTAGCGTTTGAGGCAATACGCGTGCGCCGCGGTCAACGCAACACGCAGCACGAAAGCCCTACCGCACATCAACGCGAGCGAACATGGAAAACAAGCCCGTGCGAGGCCCCAGCGCCCGACCTTGCTAAGCAGAGGGTCCTAGCAAGCATCGAAAGGATGGAAGCCTCCCAAATGTGGCCCGAGCAGGACGGGATCGGAGGATCGCACTGCATCACCGATGCATCGGAAATGACTCGGCGACAACGATATGAATCAGGTCGAATTCAAAATCGTACCAAATCGCAGATGGATCGACGATGCAGCGATATCTTCCGACCCCATGTGGCCTGGCCCCATTTGGGGGCCTGGGCAAGAGGAGCTATAGCAAGCGGGGCGGCCAACTTACATGCTCTAACGTCGCCCAAGCTCCGGTATATACAGCCCAATGTGGGGAAACTGGCCTGCTGCTAACAGCGCACGGAATCGGGCCGATATTTGAAACTATCGCCATGCTACCCTTCAGACAGAACTTCATGGCAGTCAAGCTTCAAAACGACTACCACGGGATGGCCGATTGGAAAAGTACTGGCTCAAGGATCCACTCCTTTCAGAACCATGACCGCTCACAAACTGATCCCAGAAAAACGGCTTGGGAATATAAAGCAAATTGTGAATCTCAGGCCGACAGGCATCCATAAGGAGCGCATGGTCAAGGTGCCTGGTGATTGTGGTAATCATGGTGGCAGTGGTAATAGTAGTGGGGTAGTGGTAGCAATGGGGTAGCAGTAGCAGTGCTAGCAGCAGTGGCAGTAGTGGCAGTAGTGGCAGTAGTAGCAGTAGTAGCAGTAGCAACAATAGCATCATCAGTAGCATTAGCAGTAGCAGAAGCAGTAGCAGTAGCGATGGCAGTCGCAGTAATAGTTTCCCTGTAGTCGTAGCCGCAGCAGCAGTACGAGTGGCAGTGAAATGATAAACAAACCTAGTAGTGGTAGTAGTTGGTGGTAGTGTGAATGGTGGTAGCATGCCAACAGCAAGAGCAGCGGGAGTGGGAGTGGTCGGGGAAGTGGTAGTGGCAGTTGCAGCAATAAGGAGAGCGGCACAAGCAGCGACAAGCTTGCGCCGCTCAGCGATCCTGCTGTGGCTTCTGGCCCGACCCTGCCTGGCCGCTGTGCTTGGCGCCAGCGCCCCCAACCGCGTCACTGCGGCCGCGCGCACGGCTGCGTTGGGTGACATCCTGCGGGTTGCTCAGGACCGCAATGAGACGGGGGATAGCAAGAGACCCCGCTCAGCTCCTGGTTTCTCCTCCTACTCCTCCTCCTCTTCCTCCTCCGCCTCCCCAGATCAGCTCCGCATGCCCTCTCACGTTGTTTGCTCTGCTGCTGCGTTCTCTCTTCCCCCTTCTCCTCCTCCTCCTCCGCCTCCTCCTCCTATTCCTCCCCCTCCTCCTCCTCCTCCTCCTCCTGCTCCTCCTCCTCTTCCTGATAGTCATCATGCTCCTCCTATACCTCCTCCACAACTGCCTTCAGGCCCACCTCCAGCTTGAACGCCACCTGGCCTACTTCGTCTGCATCCTGTTCCTCCCTGGTCTCCTCCTCGTCCTCCTGCTTTTCTACTCCATCCAGCTCCTCCGCCGCAGTCGTCGCCTCCTCCGCCTCCATCTCCACCGTCGCTGCGAGGTGACTGCAAACTTACAATACAGCAGATCCTAGCTACTGGCGATAGGTCTACATTCAACGCCGAACCATGCTCGAGCACAACTTGCAAGAGATGGCAGCGGAAGGATGAGGAGGGAGGTGATGAGGCTGAGTAGGAAGGACATGCAATGAAAGGGGTGAACACTCCGAATAGGAACCCGATATGCAGATGAGAGAGCGGTATGGGAAACGCATCTTATGCTGACAGGGCCTGAGGCAAATACGGGGAAGGAGTAAGAGAAAGGAGGGAAGCAGGGGGTGATGAAATGTGGAGGGGAATCGGGGGATGGGTAACGAACACGAATGGGGATCAGTGGGGATAATGAAGGTGGGCATGCTAGGCAGGCTCGCATCGTATCTGACGTTCTGCCTCTCCCACCGAACCAACCCTCCCCATTGCGCATATCGCCGTCGATTCGCGGAGACCAATCCGCCGGCCCCCTTTCTGGGGCCACCAGGCTGTAGGACGCAGTTGCTGCTCCGTGCACGAGGTGCAGTTCTAAGTCTCCAATGTTACAGTCCTGCTTTCTGCCTCCTACTGTAAGTTGTTGAAGTCCGCGCGAGGGGGGGAGCCCCAAAGGGCCCAGTTAGCGTCCCACTCCCAGGGCTCCCAGATTTCCCGGGGGGGCGTGTGACACGAAAAGATCAGGAGATTCGCGCCCCCAAGGCCCTAATCTCTCGTAGATTGCACCATGTTCGCGACCCTCGAGGGAGGCCATACACGCTCGAAAATTACGAAAGTATTGCGTCCCCGAGGCAACAGCCCCCTGTAAGTTACGCGATGCTCGCGTCCCCGAAGCCATACACCTTTTGCAGATTACGCAGTATTCGCACTGCCGAGGCCAAGAGTGTTCCAAGACGCCCGAAGATGATTCCAAGAGGGCCCAAAGAGGCCCCAAGAGCGCTCCTATAGGCCTCCCGACAGAGCCACAAGAGGCCAAAATCGTACATCTGACGAAGGTTTTCGGCGTCTCGCATTGTCGGCTTTCCGACGCTCCAAGACGGCTCAAGAAGCTCCCAAGACCGCCCCAAGACAGCCCAAGACGCCTCCAAGAGGGCCACGAGACGCCAAGAGGTGCCCAAGCAGGGGACCACGAACCGAACATTCGATAGTTGTGCCCCGAGAAATCCCCAGGAGGCCCCGAGAGGCCGCCGAGAGGCCCCAAGAGGCGCACCTAAGAGGCCTTCAAGAGGCCCGAAAGATAACCCCACGAGGCCCCAAGAGGCGCCCAGGAGATGCCCAAACCGCCTCCAAGAGTCCCTCTTGCGGCTCCCCACGACACCCCAACACACATACAAGAGGCCTCAGACCCACAACTCAGGCACGATGGCTGGATGTGCCGAGGGCCACTAGGATCCGCCGCCCCGTGTTGATTCATCACAGGGGTGCCTGGCGTGCCAGACTATTACGGTTTTGGTTTTGGTTCTTTTTCCAAAAGAACTCCCCCTGGGGCTCCGGCGCGTCCCGCTGGGGTCCCGGGAGGATTGCCAAGGACCTCCATTCCCCAATTTCCTGCCCGAGACGGCTCCAAGATGGCCTCCAAGATGCCTCCAAGACGGCCAGGATGGCCTCCAAGACGGCTAAGATGGCTTTAAGATGCCTCCAAGACGGCCCAAGATGTACCCAAGACGGCCTAAGATAGCCTTCAGATGGCCCAAGGCGGCCCAAGAGGCCCCTAAGAGGCCTCAAGGACAGCCCAAGAGCCCGTCGAGAGGTTCTCCAGGAGGGCCCGAAGAGGCCAAAATCATTGATTTTTCGTAGGTTTTCGCCTGTTCGGCCTGTTCGGCCTCAGACGGCTCAAGACGGTCCAAGAGGCCCCCAAGATCGTCTCAAGATCGCCCACGAGGCCTCCAAGATGACCCCATGACGACCCAAGAGGCCCCCAAGACGGCCCGAAGAGGGCCCCAAGACGGCCCAAGAGGCCTCCAAGACGCCCAAGATGGCCTCCAAGACGGTCCTGAAGTACCCTAAGAGGGCCCCAAGACGACCCAGAGAGGCCCCCAAGACAGCTTCCGACGGCGTCAGACGGGTTAGGAACGCCCTGAGACGGCCAAAGAGGCCCTCAAGAAGCCCTCAAAGGCCTCCAAGAGGCACCAGGAGGCCCCCAAGAAGCCTCCAAGAGGCCCTCAGGAAGGTCCCAGCAGGCCCCAAGAGTGAAGCCTCCAAGAGGCCCTCAGGAAGCTCCCAGCAGGCCCCAAGAGTGCCCCAAGAGGCTCCCAAAAGGCCTCCTGCTCCTCCTCCTCCTCCTCCTCTTCGTTTTTCTCCATCTCCCCCCTTCTACTCTTCCTCCCCCATGTGTTCCCCGAAGGGCCCCGAGGGGGCCCCTCCCGTAGGGGAGGGGTCGGGACCCCAGGGTCCTCCTGGCGCAGGCGGGGAGCGCCGGGCCCGAGGGGCGAAAATCCCCCGCACCCCGGGGGACGCCGCCAAAGTGCGGTTTCCTTCCCCCGGGGGGGTCGCCAGGCCCCGTGTGCTTCCCCAGGGCGGTGCTGGGTCCCCCCCAGCACTCGCCGCCCTGGGGTGGGGCTGGCGGCTCGTCCTGTCGTGTCGCTCGTCCGTCTCGTGTCGTTCGTGTCGCGTCGTTCGTTTCGGCCCCCTGTCGTGTCGCGTCGTGTCGTGGTCCCGGGGCCGTTAAACGCGGCCACCCATGGAGTGGGTGGTGGGTAGGGTTGGCGCTGAGCACGGCTCGCGCCCCCTACCCCGACCAGGGAGCGCGGAGCACGGTCTCCCGCGCTCCCTGGTCGCGCTTCGGTCGCGCCACGGGGTTTGGCCCCGACCGTGGCGCGGCCTGCGCCGTTTTTGGTGCGTCTCGCTGGCACTCGCCACGCCAGCGGAGTCATGTGGCTGTTCATGGGTCGACCCTAAAAAAAAAAAATGTGTTCCCCGAAGGCTTTCCAAGACGTCTCGGGGAACACATACTCTGATAGTTTGGGGAAGCTCTGGCCCAACTTTTGGCCACACAGGCGCTTCCAAAACATGGCCTCCAAGACGATCCCAAGATGGCCCAATCGAACCCAAGAGTGACATTTGCTTCGTTTCGGCCTTCCGACGGCCCGATGCGGCCCAAGAGCCCCCACAGATCGCCCAAGGATCGCCCAAGACGCCTCCAAGATGATCCCAGAACGGCGCAAGAGGCCCCCAAGACGGCCCCAAGAGGCCCTCAAGACGGCCCAGGAGGTTTTTAAGACGTCCACGATGGCCTCCAAGACGGCCCTGGAGCATTCCAAGAGGGCCCCAAGTCGGCTCAGAGAGGCCCCCCAAACGGCTTCCGACGGCGTCGGACGGGCCAGGGGCCCACCAAGACGGCCGAAGATGGCACCAAGATGGCCCAAGACGACCCAAGAGGCTTCCAAGATGGCCTCTCAAGGCCCGAAAAGGCCCAAACCATGTATTTCCCATGAGTTGTTGAAGGATTGTGGCATGTGTGTTTTTTCTGCCTTCCGACGGCCCGAGACGGCCCAAGTGCCCTTCAAGATCGCCCAAGAGGCCCAAGACGGCCCCAAGAGGCCCCCGAGACGGCCCCAGAGGCCTCACGATGGCCTCCAAGACGGCCATCTCGGAGGCCTCCAAGACGTCCTCCAGGAAGGCCCGAAAGGGTTTTAATGGCCTCCAGGCGGCCAAGATGACCTTCAAGATGCCCACGTGTTCCCCGAAGGCTTTCCAAACCGATTCGGGGAACACATGGTCCGATAGCTTGGCAGGTCTGGCCTCCACGTTCGGCCACATAGGCGCATCCACAAAGGCAGGGGGCGGCGGTGATTCGCCGTAGGCGTCTTCGATAACGCCAACGTCTCAATATGCGCTGATGATTCTTATCCGCCCCTGCATGATGTTCCCAGATGCGCCAGGGCAGCGCCGAGACGCACCGACGCGACTATGATGTATCCTATTATGATAGAGAGGGGGCCGGCGGCAGGGAGCGAAGCCCTTACGGATAAATAGTCTAAGCAGTATGCCTTGGTGGCGTTTGCAGGGCTTGATACATCTACTCTGTAAGTTGCGATTGGGGCAAGACGGGACCTAAAATGCATGACAAGGTCAAACGACGCCTGGGTGGAAAGAGTACGCGCGCAATCGAACCGTGCAGTGCACGCAACAGACAAAATGATGACGAGGCTCCGAAACTCTCACGGTATGAGCTCGACCACAAGAAACCTTCCACAAGAAACCAACCTTGAGACCCCAGGACGTCCATTGATTTTTGGAAGGGGAACGTCGCGCGTTCCATATCATCGAAACCCAAGAAACCCACGGAACCCTGAAGGCAAGCAGGATGTTTTTCACTGGCGGAGAGGCAGGGCAGGGGGTGAGACATGGAAGAGGAGGAGTGGGAAGGGGGAGGGCAGGAGGAGGCCAGCACAGGGGCCGAGCCTGACGTCGTTGTGGCGGGATGGACGGGACGTGCATCCACACCAGACAAGCGGCTTCACTACTCGCAGATTAACTGCTCGCACATGGCCTGGATCCGGCGAGGGGGATTTGCGACCCATCACATCGAGGCAGACGTTTGTGAAGGGGCCCTAGGACACACAAATAAATACACACCAATAACAGGATTCCCCATACTTTCCCATATTTGCTGGGTTTCTGTCCTCCCCCCCACTTCCCATATTTTCCTATATTTTTTGGGGAATCGACGATTAATTGTGTCTGTGTTTCTTTCCCTCTTGAGTTTGCTGTTTGGGCCTCTCGAGAATGGGCACGCTGCGAGTAGCGAAGCGCGCTCGGCGACATGCGCCTGGCGATGGTGGGCATCACTGTGAGGTATGGCGGCTGCAGGGGTCGCGGATGCTGGAGCAGAGAAACAGAGGAGAAGGACACGGACTTGGAGGGGGACAGGGGGAAACGGATGAGGACGGGAGGACGAAGGGAGGAGCAGAACGGAGAGGGATGAAACACAACAGAAATGGAGAGGAGAAGGATGGGGAGGGAGGAGGAGGAGGAGGAGGAGGAGGAGGAGGAGGAGGAGGAGGAGGACGAGGAGGAGGAGGAGGAGGAGGAGGAGGAGAAGGAGAAGGAGGAGGAGGAGGAGGGGGAGTGGGAAGCTGGGGGGAAGATTTGGGATTAGGGGAGGGAGGCGGACTCCGAGCCTCGGAGCTCGTCAATTGCACGAGGCTCGCGCTCCCTGGGGGCCACGCGCCCTCGAAAATTACGACAAGGCTGCGTCCCCGAAGCCACAGTCCTTCGTGAATGACTACGCGTTGGCGCTCTCGAGGCCATCCTCCCTGGCACAGTACGACAGACTCGCGCACCCCAAGCCACAGGCCTGTGCACATTGCGCCAGATGCGTGCTCTCGAGGCCACAACCCCTGGTAAGGTACGACAGGCCTGCGTCCCCGAGGCCAGAATCCCTGACAAATTGCTGGGCGCTGGCGCTCCAGAGGCCAACATCCCAAATGCGCTACTCCAGTATCACGCTCCCCAAGCCAAAATCACCGAAGTCACCGAAAGTACAATCCCTGGCAAAATACTTTACGTTCGCGCTCCCGAGGCCGCGAACCCACCCAACGGAGGCTGCCCACAAGCCACCCCCTCAAGAAGAGGAAAACGATCGCTGCCTGCATTGGTACAGTGGGAGCCCGACCACAAGAAACCTTTCACAAGAAGCCCAACCCTGAGACTCCAGGACGTCCATCGATCTTCGGCGTGGGAACGTCACGCTTCCCACAGCGAAACCATCAACACCCAAGAAACCCAGGAGGGCACCCTGGAGGCAAGCAGGGTGTTGCTTGGCATGGATCTCCACTGTATATGTGTTCGGCAACCGCGCTTCGGCTCCCCGTCGTCTCCTGAGAACTCGGCTCCAGGCTGGAAGCGGCAGGTGTGCGTCGTGCCGACTTCGGCGTGGGTTTCTGACGCTGCGGGGATCGCTCAACCTTGAACGATCGGCTGTTTACAGAGCGTCAGATCGTTCAACATCTGGGGGATCTTCTGACCCGGGTCAGTCCAGACCCGCGTCAGCAGGAAACCAAAAAACTGCAATGCAGGAAAAAAAACTGCAACGTAGGTCTTCGCAAACCCGGGTCAGCCAACATGCGCGGCCGCCTCGCGGCCACGAGCGGCTCGCTAACCTCAGCCCGAAGGGGGGTCTTCGCAGGTTCCTGCAGGATCCGGCGCCCTGGCTGACCCCCGTTTGCATTGACCCCCGTCTCGAGGCTCCCGAACACCGACCGATTCTGGGTCGCCGGCGGCGTTCCATGCTGAACGCCAGCGGCGGGGCCGCCGCCAGAAAGCACGACGCAAAACCACCGTATAGGGGCGCGCGCTCCCGAAACCTCGAGCCCCGGCAGCTCAAATCGGGAGCGGCCAAGAGGGGGGTGTCCAAGAGGGGGGGGTGCAAATCATGACCGGCGGCATGTGCGCAGCCCAGCGGGGGGGCCAGGGGCGTCATGAAATAAGAAGAGGCGCCATACAAATTCTGAGGAAATATCATGGCCCATTCCATGACATCCACCCCCCCCCTAGTCACCACCCCCCTCTTTTCCGCCCCCGAGCTTACAGTCGAAGCGCGCTCCGGCGGTCACCTTCCCGCAGCACTGGTTACAGGCGCGCGCAAGCGCACCAGCTAGCAAACAGACCACGACAACTGTGCAGTACCAGCTCAGGCAGCCAGCCAATCAGCCGAGTTGACAGCCAGCCAGCCGAGCATAGAACCAACCGGCCTACCGGCTGAGCACGGCCGTGCAGGCAGTGCGGGGGGGCGGGCGGCTGAGGGCGAAGCCCTTCCGATATAGGAGGGCGAGGGTGACACGAGGAAGAAGGCAAGGGTGAGGGGGGTGCGGGAGGGGGAGAAGGGACGGGGGAGCCTAGGGACTGGAGGGGGGGGAACTCGGATCCCGGAACTCTGAGGTCCGCGGAAAGATGCCAAAGGGTATCGCTGCCAGGGGTGTGCACTGTGCTGAAGACGCAGTGCAGACCACTGGAGGAGGGGAGAGAGGTGAGGAGGGTCAATCCCCAAAGGGCAATGGGTACAGGTGGCCTTCTGCATCGCGGAGCTTTGGGCCTTCAGCGCCTGGCTGCGGGCGCAGCAAGACAGGGGCCATCCATCACCGGCTACATTCCCCTGGGCCCCTACGTTTTCTCCTCCTCGTCTTTTCCCGCCTCTTCCTGTCTCCTTTCCACCTTTCGCGTTATCATTCTTTCGTGGGAGGTGGGGACAAGCCTGCGCCTGCCGAACTCGCACCGCCTCTCAGGAGTGCAAAACGAGGCGACGAGGAGCCCCGGACATTCTTGAGACCCGCGCAATCCGAACATCAAGGGCCTCCTCAAAAAGGAGAAGGAAGAGTCTATCAAGACTCAGGTTGTTCGGGTCGGGCGAAAGGGGGGGATAGCAAAGGGGGGGTTTGAGAATCCGCTCACGTAGCTGATTTTCCCGGCGCCTTCCGGCACCGAAGGCGGCTATGTATCGAGGAATGGGCCCCTCGGTGGGGCTGAAACCAGCTGCATGCAGCAGATTTCGCAACCCCCTCTTTCCCAATCCCCCCCTTGCGTTCGGCCCGAGCTGTGCGACCTTGCGAGGAGCAGGAGACTTTGTTGCTGCTGCTGGTCCTCCTCCCGAGGGGAGGTGGTGGCGGAGGTGGATACTGGAGGGGCCCTGGGACACACACAAATAAATGGACACAGATAAGAGGATGCCCCATATGTTCCCAGATTTTCTGGGTTTCTGTTTTCCCCCCCTGCCCATGTTTTTCCCCATATTTTCGGGGAGTCGACGATTAAATTGTGTCTGCGTTTTTTTCCCAACCCTCCTGCGTTGGGTTCTCGTTTTGAATAGAGCACTGCTCGCGCGAACCGTCCTTCCTTCCTTCCTTCCCGTCCCTCTCTTCCCCCTGCCTTTAACCTCGCTCGTCGCTGCGTGCCAGCTGGGGGGCTGCGATCTGTGAAACTGTCGCCACTTTCGAGGGCTGCTGGGGGGCCCAGCACAGTGTGCACCCGCGGCGGATTCAAATGGGACCTCGCCATCCCTGGGGGGGCTGCGATCTGTGAAACTGTCGCCACTTTCGAGGCCTGCTGGGGGGCCCTGCGCAGTGTGCACCCGCGGCGGATTCAAATGGGACCTCGCCATCCCTGGGGGGCTGCGATCTGTGAAACCGTCGCCACTTTCAAGGCCTGCTTGGGGGCCCAGCACAGTGTGCACCCGCGGCGGATTCAAATGGGAACTCGCCATCCCTGGGCTGCGATCTGTGAAACTGTCGCCACTTTCGAGGCCTGCTGGGGGGCCCAGCACAGTGTGCCACCGCGGCGGATTCAAATGAGACCTCGCCATCCCTGGGGGGGCTGCGATCTGTGAAACCGTCGCCATGTTCGACGCCTGCTGGGGGGCCCAGCACAGTGGATACCCACAGCGGATTCAAATGGGACCTCGCCATCCCTGGGGGGCTGCGATCTGTGAAACTGTCGCCACTTTCGAGGCCTGCTGGGGGGCCCAACGCAGTGTGCACCCGCGGCGGATTCAAATGGGACCTCGCCATCCCTGGGGGGCTGCGATCTGTGAAACGGTCGCCACTTTCGAGGCCTGCTGGGGGGGCCCAGCGCAGTGTGCACCCACGGCGGATTCAAATGGAGCCTCGCCATCCCTGGGGGGCTGCGATCTGTGAAACTGTCGCCACTTTCGAGGGCTGCTGGGGGGCCCAGCACAATGGGTACCCACGGCGGATTCAAATGGGACCTCGCCATCCCTGGGGGGCTGCGATCTGTGAAACTGTCGCCACTTTCGAGGCCTGCTGGGGGGCCCAGCACAGTGCGTACCCACGGCGGATTCAAATGGGACCTCGCCATCCCTGGGGGGCTGCGATCTGTGAAACTGTCGCCGCTTTCGAGGCCTGCTGGGGGGCCCAATACAGTGGGTACCCACAGCGGATTCAAATGGGACCTCGCCATCCCTGGGGGGGCTGCGATCTGTGAAACTGTCGCCATTTTCGAGGCCTGCTGGGGGGCCCAGCGCAGTGTGCACCCGCGGCGGATTCAACTGGGACCTCGCCATCCCTGGGGGGCTGCGATCTGTGAAACTGTCGACACTTTCGAGGGCTGCTGAGGGGCCCAGCACAGTGGGTACTCACCGCAGACTCAAATTGGATCTCGCCATCCCTGGGGGGCTGCGATCTGTGAAACTGTCGCCACTTTCGAGGGCTGCTGAGGGGCCCAGCACAGTGGGTACTCAACGCAGACTCAAATGGGACCTCGCCATCCCTGGGGGTTGCGATCTGTGAAACTGTCGCCACTTTCGAAGGGTGCTGAAGGGCCCAGCACAGTGGATACTCACCGCAGACTCAGACTAGACCTCGCCATCCCTGGGGGGCTGCGATCTGTGAAACTGTCGCCCGTTTCGAGGGCTGCTGAGGGGCCCAGCACAATGGGTACTCACCGCAGACTCATACTAGACCTCGCCATCCTTGGGGGGCTGCGATCTGTGAAACTGTCGCCACTTTCGAGGGCTGCTGAGGGGCCCAGCACAGTGGGCTTCCTGCACGCCTTTCTCCTGCTCTTCGTTCCCGACTCCCCATGTCTTCTTCGAGCCCGTAGTTGTCGCCCCTCGTTCTTGTATGGTTCTCCTGCGCATCATGCCATTGGCGCGTGTCCCAAGTAGCTTTCATATCAAACAACGGATCCTGCAATTGGATGGTCCGTGCAAGTTTCGGCCAACTCCTCGTTTCCCATGATACAAATGGGTTGGGCACGTCACAGGGTAATTTTCCCCCTCCTGAGATACGACCGACCTGGAGCCCTGGAACCCGCTGCAGGCTGCAGCCCTGCCCGGCCCTCCCGCTGCGACCACAACTGCCCTCCGGCCTCTGCAGGCCTACGGTTGTGTCGGGCGTGTCCCCCTACAGGGGGCTTTTCGACGAAAACTAAGAATACCCAAAAAATACACCAAAAAGGTAAAAAACAAATGCTCAAAAAATAGTCCCCAGACTATTTTTGGACTATTGTTTGACTAGTTTGGCGTATTTGTTTGTCGAAAAAAAACCCTGTAGGGGGGCAGGCCCGACATAAGCCTACGATCCCCCCCCTCTCTATCCCTCCTTCCTCTCTCGAGAGCTGGGCAAGGGCTGCTAAAACTTGGCTGCTAGAACGGCCCTCCCGGAAGGAAAAAACGACCTCCCGGAATGAGGCGCGGCACGCGGAACAGTCAGCGGGTTTCTTCCCGGAAGGACGAAAACAACTTCCCGGAGGTCGATTTTAGCAGCCACGGATTTAGCAGCACTTGCCCGGCTTCCGACTCTCACTCCTGCTCCTCCCCGCCTATCGGGGGCGGCCAAAACGGGGGTGTCCAAGAGGGGGGGGTGCAAATCATGGCCGGCGGCACGTGCGCGGCCCAAGGGGGGAGCCAGGGGCGTAATGAAATAAGAAGAGGCGCCATGAAATCTGAGCAAAAATTATGGCCCACGCCATGAAATCCACCCCCCCTAGTCATCACCCCCTTTTTGCCGCCCCCGAGCTTAGCTCCTCCTCGCTGCACCGCCAGACGTGCCCGAAGGGCGGCCTGTGCGCTATGCCAGGGAGTCCTCTTCACCATGTTTGACCACGGGGCCGCTCGCCCTCAAACCATTCGATGGGTGGAGGGCGATGTGCGCCGTGCGCAGTCGCGTTGGCCATCGCGTTGGCGCCGCGCACAGTCGCCTTACAGCAGGAGCTCGGCCACAAGACACCCTCCACAAGAAACCCAACAGCTGAGACCCGAGGGAGTCCGTTGATGATTGATTTGGAAGCATCACATTTTCCACAACAAAACCACCATCGAAACCCGGGAAACTCAGGGCACCCTGGAGGCAAGCAGGGTGTTTCTTGGCATGGGTTTCCTCTGTACCTCTTCAGGACCAGATCTTTCGCTGAGACCTCCTCGGGTGTACAACTACATACTCACGCACGTGCAAGAGCTCCTCGAATAGGGTAGGGCTTCTGCCCCTTAAAGAGGCTCTCCCTTGACGTGCCCTGACCTTCTACCTAGAAGTCATGCCACGTGCAACAGCTGCGCAGAGGATGGAGGGCGGCTCTTTCCAAAAACGGAACTGTCGCTGCACACCTCGGTAAACTGTGTGATCTGGTCTCTAGAAATATACAGCCATCGGCCTGACCTAAGGAACGATACATAAGGAACGAAGCCCCCCTTTTTATCCCAAGGCATAGCGCATAGGGAACGATAAATAATACAGAACGCATAAGGAACTGTAATTAACGCATGTAAGCCTAAGGAACGACCGAGCCCCTTTTGAAAAGTAAGTGCTCCTTATTCAAGCCGCTCACTGTAGAGGGCGGACAAAGGGTGCTCTCGCCGGAACGGCAGGTCAACAGGGCGCTCGTCTTTGAAGAGGGCGCTTCCCGCAGTGAGAGGGCCACGGGGGCACTCGCCTGAGTGGCAGGCCAACGGGGCGGGTCGTTGATGCATCCTCGGCTTCCTCTTGTCCTCCTCCTCCTCCTCCTCCTCCTCCTCCTCCTGATCGTCAACATGTTCCTCCTCATCCTCCTTTTCCTCCTCCTCCTCCGCCTCCGCCTTCTCCTCCTCCTCCCCATCCTCCTCCTCCTTCTCCTCCTCCTCCTCCTCCTTTTCCTCCTCCTTGTCCTCCTCCTCCTCCTCCTCCTCCTCCTCCTCCGCCTCCTCCTCCTCCTCCTCCGCCCCTCCCTTGGACTTTGCAAGCCCCAAACCCCAGGGGCACCGCGAAGACGGCAGGACTTTCGCCAGCGGCCTCCAGGCGCGCCTCGTGGGCAGGGGCCAGGGCGGAGTGCGAGAACGAAGACCGTGAGGCGGTGGCAGGGCTGAGTACGAGAACGACGAGTGGGAGGGGAGGGGCGGGGAGGGCGAAGGGAAGAGGAGGAGACGTCTGCCCCCCCACATGGGGCGCGTCGGCGGAAGGCTACGCCGGGTGGTCCCAAGCACACGGGACGCGTGCGCCCAGGGGCGGCAACGAAAGCACCCCAAATGACACGCTGCCGAGGGGGACGTGCTACGGTCGAAGAGGCACCAAGGCTTCGGACCAGAAGCGAGAGGAGTAGCACGCCGACGCGTTCCCGACAACGGCGTGTGGCTGTTGCCTCCGTTCCCCCCCGACATAGAGAGGGGGGCAACAGGACGTGAGCACGAAGCGAAGTCCCGTGTGAGCATGGTCGCCGACGCCTTGGGGTCACCAGCCAGGCCCCTTCCCGGAGGGGTCGATGGTGCTGGCTGGTAACGGTGAGGGGGGGGACTGCTAGATCGGCTCCAGCGTCAAACATCGCCCGAGATCCCCCCAAGAGGCTTCGGAGACGCCGCCAGCGGCCAAGATGCCCAATTAGAGCAACCGACCAGAAGACACAATAAGCACACGACAGGCCCAAAGAGAGGATTTGAGAGGATCCAAGGGAGGCACCAGACAGACCAAACAATCGAACATGTGTGTCAGAATGTAACGGCATTCTCAAGTCTGCTGTTGCCTCGGCTCGCGATGGCTCTCGGACTTGCTTGGAAGGCTCCAAGTGGCCTAAGAGGGCCTTCGGACGACCCGTTACGCCGTCAAGACAGCACCAGAAGGCTCCCAGAGAGCGGCAAGTCAGCCCACAAGAGTCTCTAGAGAAGACGTCCCAACAGGGCCGAACATGGACCCAATCGGCCTCAAGACGGCCCCGACAGAGCCCCCCTACAGCCCAAGAGAGCTCCAAGAAAGCTCCCAGACAGCGTGAACAAATTACTCGACGCGGGGCTCCCCATATGTGCATCTCATTCTCTTGGTACGTGTTTCTATTGATATCTGTCAATGAACGCCTGTGTGCGAGGGCGAACCGCTCGCTCGAGACATTCCCACAGTCTGCAAGCATGAGTGCGACCAATAGCAAATCTGAGAGCGACGGATTCTGAGTGTGAGTTAATCTGGGTGCGATTGAGCCTGGGTTTGAGTGGGTATGCGTGTGAGTAAATATGAGCGCGAGTGCGTCTGTGTGCGAGTGGGTCTGAGTATGGACGTGTCTGAGTGTGAGCCAGTCTGTGATTGAGCGGATCGTAGCATGATGATTCTGAGCATAAGTGAGTCTGGGTTTGGGTGGGTCCGAGTGTGAGAAAAGTGTGTGTGTGTGTGTGTGTGCTAATGAGATCTGAGTGCGAGTGCGCCGAGCGTGAATGGGTATGGATGTGAGACAGTCTGAATGTGAGTCGGTCTGCGTTTGAGCGGACCGAAGGATGATGAGTCTGAGCAGGAGCGAGTCTGAGTATGAGTGGTTCTGAGCGTGAGTCTGAGCGTGAGTAAGTTTAAGTACGGATACGAGCGAGTCTAAGTGCGAGTGAGCCTGCGTGTGACTGAGTCTGAGTATGAGTGAGTATGAATGCAGAAGAATGAAGGAGAGCGGAGAGCGAAGGAGAGTGAGGCGGAAGCGCTTGAGTAAAACCTAAAGCCTTAGAACATCGAACCTCGATCGTCTGGCCCTGACTAATCGAACTGCCCACGTCCTCCTCCTCCTCCTCCTCCTCCTCCTCCTCATCATCATCATCATCATCATGATCATCATCATCATCATCAGCATCCCCTTTATGCTTCTGCTCCTACCGTGTTCATACTGTCCTCCTTCTCCTCCTCTTCCTCCTCCTCTTCCTCCTCCTCCTCGTCCTCTTCCTCCTCCTCCTCGTTTCCTCCTGCTCTTCCTCCTCCTCCTCCTCCTCCTCCTCTTCCTCCTCCTCCTCCTCCTCCTCCTCCTCCTCCTCCTCCTCCTCCTTGGGAGTGCTGAAACCAGCAAATCGCCTGAGACATCCTCCCACAACTGCTCCGAAAACGACAGATGCCCAGCATCATCACTGCCAAACCGCCTGAGATATCCCCGCAAACTGGGCGCGAACGTCCTCCAAATCTGCTCTGAAAGCGAAACATGTCCCAAGAGAAAATGGCCAAACCGCCTCAGACATCCCCACAAAATCCAGCGAAAGGGGCCAAGTGAAATACCCCCCCGCCGCTCCCCTTAGGAGTGCCGCAAGCAGCGAATCGCCTGAGACATCCTCCAAATCTGCTCCGAAAGCGAAACATGTTGGAAGAGAAAATGACCAAACCGCCTGAGACATCCCCACAAAATCCAACGAAAAGGGGCCGAGTGAAATACACCCCGCCGCCCCCCTTAGAGTGCTGAAAACAGCGAATCGCCTGAGACATCCTCCAAATCTGGTCCGAAAGCGAAACATGGTGGGAGAGAAAATGGCCAAACCGCTTGAGACATCCCCACACAATCCAGCGAAAGGGGCCGAGTGAAATACCCCCCCCGCCACTCCCCTTAGGAGTGCCGAAACCAGCGAATCGCCTGAGACGTCGTCCAAATTTGCTCCGACAGCGAAACATGTTGGAGGAGAATTGCTCGACGCGGGGCTCCCCATATGTGCATCGCATTCTCTTGGTGCGTGTTTCTCTTGATATCTGTCAGTGAGCGCCTGTGTGCGAGGGCGAACCGCTCGCTCGAGACATTCCCACAGTCTGCAAGCATGAGTGCGACCAATAGCAAATCTGAGAGCGACGGATTCTGAGTGTGAGTTAATCTGGGTGCGATTGAGCCTGGGTTTGAGTGGGTATGCGTGTGAGTAAATATGAGCGCGAGTGCGTCTGTGTGCGAGTGGGTCTGAGTATGGACGAATCTGAGTGTGAGCCAGTCTGTGATTGAGCGGATCGTAGCATGATGAGTCTGAGCATGAGTGAGTCTGGGCTTGAGTGGGTCTGAGTGTGAGAAAAAGTGTGTGTTAATGAATCTGAGTGCGAGTGAGCCGAGTGTGATTGGGTATGGATGTGAGGCAGTCTGAGTGTGAGTCGGTCTGCGTTTGAGCGGACCGAAGGATGATGAGTCTGAGCAGGAGCGAGTCTGAGTATGAGTGGTTCTGAGCGTGAGTCTGAGTGTAAGTTAAGTATGGATATGAGCGAGTCTAAGTGCGAGTGAGCCTGCGTGTGACTGAGTCTGAGTATGAGTGAGTATGAATGCAGAAGAGTGAAGGAGAGCGGAGAGCGAAGGAGAGTGAGGCGGAAGCGTTTGAGTAAAACCTAAAGCCTTGGAACATCGAACCTCGATCGTCTGGCCCTGGCTACTCGAGTTGCCCACGTCCTCCTCCTCCTCCTCCTCCTCATCATCATCATCAGCATCATCATCATCCCTTCCTGCTTCTGCTCCTACCGTGTTCATGCTGTCCTCCTTCTCCTCCTCCTCCTCCTCCTCGTCCTCTTCCTCCTCCTCCTCGCTTCCTCTTCTCTTTCCTCCTCCTCCTCCTCCTCTTCCTCCTCCTCCTCCTCCTCCTCCTCCTCCTCCTCCTCCTCCTCCTCCTCCTCCTCCTCCTTGGGAGTGCTGAAACCAGCAAATCGCCTGAGACATCCTCCCAAAACTGCTCCGAAAACGACAGATGCCCAGCATCATAACGGCCAAACCGCCTGAGATATCCCCGCAAACTGGGCGCGAACGTCCTCCAAATCTGCTCCGAAAGCGAAACATGTTCCAAGAGAAAATGGCCAAACCGCCTCAAACATCCCCACAAAATCCCGCGAAAGGGGCCAAGTGAAATACCCCCCCGCCGCTCCCCTTAGGAGTGCCGAAAGCAGCGAATCGCCTGAGACATCCTCCAAATCTGCTCCGAAAGCGAAACATGTTGGAAGAGAAAATGACCAAACCGCCTGAGACATCCCCACAAAATCCAACGAAATGGGCCGAGTGAAATACCCCCCGCCGCTCCCCTTAGAGTGCTGAGACGAGCGAATCGCCTGAAACATCCTCCAAATCTGCTCCGAAAACGACACATGTTGGAAGAGAAAATGGCCAAACCGCCGGAGACATCTCCACAAAATTCCGCGAACGGGACCTCGTGAAATACCCCCCCCGCCGCCCCCCTCAGAGTGCTGAGACGAGCGAATCGCCTGAGACATCCTCCAAATGTGTTCCGAAAACAACACATGCTGGAAGAGAAAATGGCCAAACCGTCTGAGACATCCCCACAAAATTCCGCGAACGGGACCCCGTGAAATACCCCCCGCCGCTCCCTTCAGGAGTGCTGAGACAACCGAATCGCCTGACACATCCTCAACATCAGTGTGTGTGTGTGTGAGTCATCCGATGAGTGGACCTGAGTGAGTGTAGTGAATGTATGAGTACAAGTACGAGTGAGTCTGAGTGATGAGTGAGTCTGAGTGATGAGTGAGTCTGAGTGATGAATGAGTCTGGGTGATGAGTGATGAGTCTGAGTCATGACTGAGTCCGAGTGATGAGTGAGTCTGAGTGATGAGTGAGTCTGAGTGATGAGTGGGTCTGAGTGATGAGTGAGTCTGAGTGATGAGTGAGTCTGAGTGATGAGCGAGTCCGCGTGATGAGTGAGTCTGAGTGGGTCTGAGTGAGAGGAGGTGAGGGTGTTCCTGTTCTCCTGGGTTCCTCCGGCGCGGTCTGCCAAAAACAAGAACCCCATTCTTAGGATATGGGGAAAAAGGCAAAACCGCCTGAGACATCCCCACAACATCCCGCGAAAGGGGCCGAGGGAAATGCCCCCCCGCCGCTCCCCTTAGGAGTGCTGAAACCAGCGAATCGCCTGAGACATCCTCGTAAACTGCTCCGAAAGCGAAACATGTTGGAAGAGAAAATGGCCAAACCGCCTGAGACATCCCCACAACAATCCGCGAAAGGGGCCGAGGGAAATTCCCCCCCGCCGCTCCCCTTAGGAGTGCTGAAGCCACAGAATCGCCTGACACATCCTCAGCATCAGTGTGTGTGTGTGAGCCATCCGATGAGTGGACCTGAGTGAGTGTAGTGAATGTATGAGTACAAGTACGAGTGAGTCTGAGTGATGGTGAGTCTGAGTGATGAGTGAGTCTGAGTGATGAGTGAGTCTGAGTGATGAGTGATGAGTCTGAGTCATGACTGAGTCCGAGTGATGAGTGAGTCTGAGTCATGCCTGAGTCTGAGTGATGAGTGAGTCTGAGTGATGAGTGAGTCTGAGTGATGAGTGGGTCTGAGTGATGAGTGGGTCTGAGTGATGAGTGAGTCTGAGTGATGAGTGAGTCTGCGTGATGAGTGAGTCTGAGTGGGTCTGAGTGAGAGGAGTGGTGTGTTCTCGTCTGTGTTCTCCTCCGGCGCGGTCCGCCAATAACAAGAACCTCATACTTAGGATATGGGGAATAAAAGAAAGCACCAGGCCGAACAGCCATACAAAAGACGCCCAACACGGCCCTAGTCGGACGAACTCAAACAAACACGAAGGGTCACCTTCAACCCCCACTCCCTCCTCGGAGAAGCTTCCGAACCAATCTTTGATACACGTCTCCCCATTCCCGTGTTCACTACTTCGTTTTCCTCTGACCCTTCCTCCCCATGTCTCGAGCCCTGCCTTACTACATCCGCACACAGAAATTGCGTGTTCACGCCATGTGTATTGAAATTGTACCGCGCTTGTATTGCATGTGTGTTGCAAACAGGTGTGTCGCACTTAACGTATCTTGCGCTTGAATTGCGTCAGCAAGTGGTGCGTGTGTGCGCTGAACTTGCTATTGCAAGTGTGTTGCATGTGCCCTGTAGGTGTCATGGTGATTCATGGTGGTGTGTGCACGTATTCTAACATACACCGCATCTCGACATTTGCAAATAATTGGTACGCACATGATGCATGTAATGAAGGGATGTGTACGTGCGTGGCGTATTCACCCCATGCACGTTCATGCTGCGACGTCGTGTAGAATCTACGTGCCTGTGTGAACATGTTCCCGGTGGGTTCGCATTTCCACGTCATGTGCTTTGAACGTATGTTGCGTGGGTGATGCGCGCGTACCGCATACGCATCGAACGTGCATTGCATGTGTACTGCGTTAGGAATGCATGTGTTATGCCCGTGTGCTGCTTGTGCTCCCCCACAGCACAACGCATTGCCTGCGCTGATGGGCGGTTCTCGCTTCGCTGACGGGCAAGGTTCGCTGAGTTCGGCTTCGGGCAGTGGCCTGGCACGAGCCGCCGAGACATGTAGGAGGCAGGACAGAGGGAGAGAGGACCGAAGGAGGGAGGCAGGAGGACGATGACGCCGAGTTAGCAGCGCCACGGCAGGAAGAGCGCCCCCTGTGGGCCTTGACGATGAGGGACGTCAGCCATCGCTTGGCTTCCGGCTGCCTGCGGCCACGCCCGCCCGCCCGTTGGGGGCCAACAGGGGGCCTGCTCCTCGCCCTCCAGAGCTCACGCCTCCTCGCCCCCTTGCTGCTCCCTGCTCCCTGCTCCCTGCCCCTCTCGTTGCCCCGTGCGCCCACCCGCCCCCCCCTGCTCCTGCCCTTCCGCCGCCGATGCCGCCGCTGCTTCCAGCTCCCAATCCCGCTGCTGCCGCTCCTCCTCCTCCTCCGACTGCTCCTCCTGCTCCTCCTCCTCCCTCCCTCCCTAGCTCCGCCCCTCCCTCCCGCCCCCCCCCCTCCCTCTACAATTACTCAATATGAATACTACTCTCCCTTTTCCCCTGATGACTGCTTGGGAATATCCGATCCCCCCCCCCGCGTACTGTTTTTTTACACACAGGTTTCCCCGGAGTTGGGTTTTCGCCTGCATGTTTTTCAAAATGCTGCTCTCGCTGAGCCGCCAGCCTCATTTTCGGGCCCCGCTCGTTCCGAATCGTGCTCCCGCTGCAGCGCTGGCCTCATTTCCGCCGGCGCCTGCACGCCCGAGCCGGCGCCCGGGCCGGCGCTCGGGCCGGGTCCGGAGCCGGTTCCGGCCGGCGCCGGAAAATCGAGTTCCGAGGCGGCGCCGAAAAAAGGATATTCCAATACACATTCTTCTTTTGAAAATGCTGAATTTCTGCTTCCGGCGCCCGGGAGGCCTCCCGGGCCCGATTCCGACGCCCGGGCCGACGCCCGAGCTGGCGCCCGGGCCGGCGCCTGGGCCCGTTCCGGAGCCGGTCCCGGCCGGCGCCGGAAAATCGAGTTCCGAGGCGGCGCCGAAAAAAGGGCATTCAAATACACATTTTTCTTTTGAAAGTGCTGAATTTCTGCTTCTGGCGCCTGGGAAGCCTCCCGGGCCGATTCTGGCGTGCTTCCGCTCTTTCCGAATCGTGCTCCCGCTGCAGCGCGGGCCTCATTTCCGCGCTTCCGCTCGTTTCGACTCGGGCTCCCGCTGCAGCGCTGGCGTCATTTCCCGTGCCATGCCACGGCATGCAATGCAATGCTAGGTTGATGCTACGCTTCGCGGTGCTCTTCTACGCCATGCCATACCGTGCTCTACAATGCATCGCGTACCCTTTCGGGATCATTGCCCTGCTCGACATCCGACTGTGCGCGTAGAGAGGGGATCTGCGCCATGGTAAGGGATGAGAGGGAGGGGTAGGATGTCACATATGACGCGAGCGCACCTAGTTTGCCCCCACCCCCTCCCTCCCTCCCCCTCCCTCTCCCCCACCCCCTCCCTCTCCCCCTCCTCCTCTTCCTCCTCCTCATCTTCCTCCTTTTCCTCCTCCTCCTCCTCATCATCCTCTTCCTCCTCTTCCTCTTCGTCCTCGTCGTCCTCTTCGTCCTCCTCCTCCTCCTTTTCATCCTCCTCCTCTTCCTCTTCCTCTTCCTCTTTCTCCTCCTCCTCCTTCTCCTCCTCCTCCTCATCCTCTTCCTCCTCTTCCTCTTCGTCCTCGTCGTCCGCTTCCTCCTCCTCCTCCTCCTCCTCCTCCTCCTCCCTCTCCCCCTCCTCCTCCCCCTCCTCCTCCTCCTCCTCCTCCTTCTCCCTCCCCCTCCCCCTCCCTTGTCAGCTCCTGCTCCGCGCCGCTGCTGCTACTGCTCCGGGTGTTTCTGCGGCCGTTGCTGCCGTTCCTCCCTACCACTGGCAGTTGCGCCCACCTCTCAGAGTCATCGCTCGGACATCCACTCCCCGCTGACGTTTCCCAAGATGATCCAAGATTCTCCTCGATGATCCTCGCCGAGGAAGAGTGCACACGTCCGAGCGATGCCAAAGTCTCGCTCTGGCTCCCGTTCCTGCCCTTCCTCGACGTCCTCGGCCCCCGCCTCCGCCTGCTCCTGCCCCTCGGCCGCCCTGCTGCGCTTGGGCCTCCGTGGGCTGGCCAGCGGAGCAGAGGATGCGCGAGAGCCATCCAGCCAGCCACACCGCACGGAGGCTGGCCGATGTCCCCAGAACGGCCAACGGGGCCCCGTGCGGCCCCCGAGAAGGCCCAAGAGGGCCCCGAAAGAGCGCCAAGACAGCCCAAAGACGGGCCTAGAGAGCCCATCCAACACTTGGAGGCCGCCGACCCCCGGCTTGTCGGGGGTGAGAAAGCGCGTGAGATGTTTGGCTGGTCCCCCTCCTACATTCCCCCTCCCCAGGGGTCCCAAATCCCAGAGTACACGTCGGTCGGAAGAAGTAGGTAGAAACATGAAGTAGGAAGGCGTTGGAAGTAGATTGGGCTTCCACCCGCCCCCCGAAGAGGAGGAAAGAAGGAAAACCGCTCGACTCTTGAAGTAGGAAGGCACCTAAAGTAAATTAGGATTTGGGCATCCAAAAATACCTACTTCCAACGACCGGCTTGTACTTTCACTGGCAGGGCCGATCGGTGCTCGAACAAGCCAAATCCATCGCAGGTTCGCACGGTGCGACGGGCACCAGCCGATGTGCCTTCTCCCCCGCTTGAAGAATAACTGCAAGATGTCCATCAAGAGTGACACGACGATCGGAGCCACATACACTTGTGACCATGCGTTCGTGCTATCGACTGTCCTGACCTACCTCGGGCCCAAGGTTGCCTCGACAACCCGAGCCAACCTCGGCCCAACCTCCGACTTATCCGACGAGTGGCCCCAGCAGCGACTCCCCAGCTACTATGCTCGAGGAGCCGCGAACCTTCGGCGGACTGTCTCTCCATGGGCTCCTGGACGCCCTCCATGGAAACGCGAAGGGGGATGGAGGTAGTTCAAAGAGGACGCCTGGCTCGAATTGGCGGTCCCCAAACGTGGTGGTGAGAACACCCGGTGGTGAGTTTTGGGCAATTTGGGTAATGGTTTTCAAGCGCCGGCTGGCCCAGGAAACGCGAAACCTCGTGGCGACCGCGTGTCCCCAACCCCGGTGGTGACCCAGAATTATTTTTTGGGGGAATCGGAGTCACCACCTGGTTTGGAGACCACCAATCGAAAGCGGATCCTCGTCAATACTGAATGTGTCCGGATCCAACGGGTCCTGCGTCGTGCCACTTCGCAGCCGAATCGGGATGCACGAATCGAGAGGCGCCATATTTGGCTCGGCGCCTCGGCCGCTCTTACCAACGCAGGCTGACGTGCTCCTACTTGCGCCAAATCCTCCTCCTCCTCCTCCTCCTCCTCTTCCTCCTCCTCCTCCTCCTCCTCCTCCTCTCCTCCTCCTCCTCCTCCTCCTCCTCCTCCTCCTCCTCCTCCTCCTCCTCCTCCTCCTCCTCCTCTCCTCCTCCTCCTCCTCCTCCTCCCTCCTCCTCCTCCTCCTCCTCCTCCTCCTCTCCTCCTCCTCCTCCTCCTCCTCCTCACCCCCCCTCCTCCTCCTCCTCCTCCTCCTCCTCCTCCTCCTCCTCCCCCTCCTCCTCCTCCTCCTGCTGCCGTTGCTGCCGACACTCTGAGGGGCACGAGGGTCGCGGTGACGACACATGCACGTGCGCACACTACTTTGGGAGGAGGAGAGGGCGGAGGAAGACGGGGAAGAGGAAGGGGCCCCGCTTACCCACGCGCCTTCCCGTACCCGTCCTGCGTCGGGCGGAACCGCTCCACAGCCGACGGGATCGGGACCGCGGTTCCCCGGGCGGCGGCCGCTGGCGCGGCGACTGCTCTCTCCGTAGGGCGCGGGCGATGGCGGAGGTGAGGCGGGGGGGGGTGAGGAAGAGTCAGGAGCAAGGTCCGTGCCGCCTCTTGGGCGGCTGCCCTCAAGGAGCACAATGCCCCTCGGCATCCTGCGGACCGCTTCAACAAAAACCGCGGCGTGACAGACAGGCCCACACAAGTCCGGGGTCTCAAACAAAACAGTGCTGCACGATCTGAATTTGGCTGAACCGCGTATCAAAGAAAATTCAAATTTCAGGGGGCTCGCCAGGGCGACAGACGCGGGGGGGCACGAAGAGGCCCATCGAGGACAAGGAAAAAAGAGACACCCGCTGCCGCCCCAGAAAGACCCAAACACATACCCGCTCTGAGAACCTCACTATGTTTAAATCATATGCCCCAACATCTGCGCGAGGTAGTGGAGTGCACGGGGTTCTTAGCGGAACCTTGCAACGCAGCCAAGAACTATTAGGCGGCGCGGCAATGACAGCTGAGACCGCGTCTTGAGAGACCACGCGGCGCAAATCGTTAACTGAGCTTCTATGTGTTAGATCATGATCAGGCCCAACGCACGCGCCTATGATTAGCGTGCACGCGTACGCGAGACCACTACCTACTAGGCGTTCAAAATTTGAGCCAAAATCATGAATCTCACTAGGCCCAATGCACGCGCGAATTATGAATCCAACCTCTGTACGTCCGAAGGGCACGGGAACGCATTGTGGGCCCCAAGTAGATGCAATAAAAGACTCGAACCCACTCTCGCAGCAAGCTCGACATCGTGGATCTTCTCTGCAGGGCATCCCTTGAGCCGGGGCCCAGGACGGCGGACTGCGCGCTTGGCGACGCAAGTCGCGCGGAATCCCTGGCCCCACAGCTCAGCCGCAGCAGCGCGGTCACACTCTCTGAGCCTCCTGGCCTCTTCGAGAGGGGGCGGCTGCTGTCTGGCAGCGGGCTATGTTTCAAATGTTTGAGGGGCCTCGCGCGCGAGTGACATTCCAGCGTGCAAGTCTGGCAGATGGAGCCATCCGCCAATTGTTGAGCTAGGTGGAAAATACTGAGCCCCTTCAACATCAGCGGCGCAAGAACTCGGGGGGGAGGGCCAAGGTGTTCGCACTGTTTAGCAAGAACTCGGGGGGGAGGGCCAAGGTGTTCGCACTGTTTAGCCAGGGGGCGCTGCCAATCTGCCCAGGCAACGCCAGCAGCGAGGGTTTAAAGACGCAGACGCCAAACATGCAGCAGGGGGCCCAGCAAGGGCTTCAGGAAGCTTCGCAAGCACACTCATCCACTCCGTATCGCTTATGACTTGGGGGGCCAAGTATGCGGGATACAAGCTAGGCGCTAGGCGGCCCACGACGAGCAAGGCGGGACGCG